GATCTCGTGGAAGAATTCCCTGCCCATGGAACTGGAGGATCTTTAGGATCCCTTCCAACCCTTCTGCGATTCTGTGAATGGACAAAACCCCCTACACACAATCCAGGGCAGATATATAGCAGGGCAACAGGGAGTGGCTACCGAAAACTCCAACTTTCTTGGTTTCTAAAACAAGATTCCTCTTGTCTGTCTGGGGAAAAATCCTCAGGGCTGTTACTGAGAGCATCTCCCCAGTGCCACAGTGGGGCTGAAAACACCATGGCCCTAAGACCTCCTGTTTCCACAACCCTTCCCAAAACCCTTCCCAAAACCCTTCCCTGGCCTGCCTCTCTCCCCCAAAACTACTCTTAGGCTTTCCCCTCCAAATGACATTGCCTTCATCCAGATAAAGTAACATTACCATTTAGCAAGAATCTACCTTTATGCTCTTTAATCAGTGACAATCTCCCTTGACAATTAATTCCTGCAGAGATAATTCAGCGCTTGCAAGGAAGTACTGGAGAGAGATAAAAATACTGAGAAACAGGGATGGAGGGCAGAACTCTTCCCCTGAAGATGGGAGGGTGTAGACGTCATCCAAGAGAATTTTTCTGAGGAGTACACTCAGCACACAGCTGCCCTCCACCTGCCTCCCAGAACAGGAGCAAAAAAACACCTCCATGCTCAACCTTGCTCCCTGGGAAGAGCTGAAGGACCAGGCATGCAGTTAATATGGATGAACATCACACCTGTGCACGGTGTAAGCCTCTCACCAGGTTTCATTTGCTTCCTACAGGTACAGTGATGCCCAAATTTATCCTGGCTGGTGACCAGTCCCAGCAGCAGGTCACAGCTTGGTGGGCTGAACCTGAACCAAGTAGTCCTCCTTGCTGGAGAGACAAAACAAGCCCTGGATAAGGCCCAGGGTTACTAAAGACAGACCCTAATTGCACCTTGCATCAATTTCCTGGCAGCACTGGAAGTACTCTGTACCCAAAAAGATCAATGTTTAGAAGAGATCAACTCTTTTCCCACAGAGGATCTACCTCTACYTTAGACCATCATAATTGTTTTCCACACGGGATCAACAACACAGCAGATGCCCCAGATGCCCCCTTGTTTTTGTCACTCATCCATCCCCTTCTACCCCTCCCARTTTACCCACCTCCCAAACACCCACGCCAGCTCACCCAATGCACAGCCCAAACCTCCTGCTTCCAGGGTGCACTGCCAGCATTCCTGTAACTCAGAGCTTGGGGATCAGGCTGAGATTTCCACTGGGAGTGCTACTACGTGCCTGGATACAGATCTCCCTCTCCTTCACATGGCAGCACGCAGAGCACAAGGGGAAGAAGTCTCAAGCAAGGTGTTGGGATTTGGGCTTAGCTCAAAAGCTGTTTAATTTCTAATGCTGCCAAAAGGAGCTGCTGATGTAGCCTCAGTGAGTTCCAAAATCRGCTTCGGCCAGGCAACAAGCAGCCAGCTTTGTTTCCAAGTGGATCCACTAAACRAGGCTCTCCAGGACCCCCWTCCCTGCCCGGGCTGATGCTGTGGTTTCCCTCCCTCCCCAGTAATTGGCTTTCTGGCTTCGCTGGGCTGCATCACGGAGGCGTCCAGCAAACAACCACCGGAGCCAAAACACGATTAGAGGCTCAAACAGCTGCTCCCTCTGCAAAGATCTGGCATCCAGAGCAGGGCTGGAGGCCAAGGAAGCAGGGAGGGAGGGAGGGAGGACACCCTGCTGGAAATAATAAGGCTGAGCCCGTTCCAGGAAAGGCTGCAGTGCCGGATGCAGGAGGAAGTTGAAGCAAAACAGCCTGACCAGGGCAGGGACCAGAGCTGCTCTTCAGGCTCCCTTCTTCCCTCTGCCCAGGAAAACCTCAAGCAAAAGGCAGAAACTGGTTTTGGGTTTTTTTTTTTTTTTTTTTTTGCCAAAGCAGCCTCAGGCTTTGGGAGTGTACAGAGGAACAGAAAGGGTGTTGAAGGATAGCTAGGAAAATGGAGACACACACATGGAGGATGGACTGTTTAGATCCATCCTATTGACATGTAAGTACATGGAAATAAGATCCTGCTTCTACCAAACCCCATTCCCAGCATCCCAGTGAGCTCACTACAGTTAGCTTTCACATGCAACTGATTCGTCTGAAAAATCACAGAATGGTTTGGGTTAGGAAGGACCTTCAACATGACCTACTGTGGGTAGGAACCCCTTTCACTAGACCAGACTGTTCAAAGCCCCACCCAACCTGGCCTTGAACACTTCCAGGGATAGGGCAGTCACAGCTTCTCAGAGCACAACTTATCTCCTGCGTCTGATTTCTTTCCGTAGGTCACAAATGACAACTTTTCCGAGAAAGCAAGTGGTTGTTTTTAACAGTGGACAGCTTTTATTTCCACTCTCCACCCACTCTSTTCTCCCAGCGAAGCTAGAGACACAATGAGCTCTTATGTTTTATAACAGTTTTAGCTGAAACTCTCCAAAACAACCCACGGCCATTGCCCAGAGAGATAAAATCATGCACACATGATCCTCTCCTTGCAGACAGTATCCTTGGGATTGTGGACTCCATTTCTGGATAAGGAAATCCCCCAAACAGCATCTGCCAAAAGCTGGGTGTATCAGTACTTGCTTTTTTTTCTGAACAAGAACAAACTGTGATTGCCTAAGAGAAGATCTGCTGGCTGTAATAGAAAGAAGATTCTGTGGATTAATAACTGTACTGTACCATTCGTTAGTACACAAGCAGAACGATTGATTTGAACTTTATGGTCATTTTGGACCCTACAGAATCCTGTATTAAATTGGARAAGCTGATAGTGCTTTCTTTCCTGCAGAAGATGCTGGGATTTTTCCTGGACTCTCTCCCTTAGAGAGCCACTATGAATTCAGGCAGAATCAGRACCAGCAACTAAAAATGTCATCTCGCATTGTCTGCTGGCACAAAGCAATTCTCTTCATTAAATTTACTTAGTTTTGCTGAAATGAACAATTGAGAGAAAGAACTTAGAGAAATGCTTTTGAGAAAGAGGCTTCTGGAAACTTCAGAGGTAAACAGGGCAGGTGTGAGCTCAAATCTTTTTTTTAATGGTGATTTTGTGGTCCAGGCAGCTGAGTAGGTCTGATCAAACAATCCTACCAGACAGTGGCATCCATGAGCCTGSTACTGGCCAGCATGCATTCCTTCTGGCACCCAAACTGCTGGCAAAGCTCCCTTTGTCTGGTGCAGAGGCAGCAAAACAAGGATCCCCCCTATGTCTTGTTAAGCCACAGGACCTTGCTGGCACATGGGACCCACTCCCAGCCTCCATTCCCACTGACAGCCCATGCCAGAAAGAGCCTTGGTTCAACATTTTATGCTAATTGCTTTAACTCCAAGGGTCCCTTCCTACCCAAATTGTTGCATGACCCTATGAAACTGCAGAGCTGGGTGGCTRAAAAAAGTCTGAATTCACTCCGTGCTTCAGCAGGGATGGGTTTGGACTAGGTGAGTGTGACACCTTGCAGGTGAGGTTCAGAAAGATTTCTTAAGAGACAACTTATGCTCCAGAGAACAAGGCAGCAGGAGGGTAATACCTGCCTGAACACCAAGGGCTGCAAGGGAGATGGAAGCCTGAAAAGCACATGGAGAAAAGCTGAGCTGCTCATCAGGAGACAAGCAAACTTTGCCCCTCTACAAGAGGATGAACTAATGTGTGTGCCCCTGAATGCAAACCAGCAAGAGGCTCTCAGATACATCCCCTCATGCAAACAAGGGGAACAAACTAAAACACACCCAGGGCTTTGCAGAGACCCAGTGTCCAGGCAGAGCTSGCGTGGAAGAGACAAAAGCAGAGCAGAGGGAAGAGAGATCTCTCACAAGGAGCCTGGTGGGATGCTGCAGGGCTCAGCCCCTCTGGCCACACAACAAGGGTCAGTTCAGCTCCATCTCTCCCTTCATACAAAGCCTTTTTGTCCACCCTCCTTCACACTGCCCTGCCCAGACAGACACAGCACTGTCTTGGGAAGGCCAGCTGATTTTTTKGGCTGTCAGCAGGGGCCAAGATGGTGACAGCAGCTCAGGCAACCCTATGACAYTGAAATGCCACCAAGTCACGTATGGAGAAGCATGGGCTGGGCAAAGAGGGCTGCTGCTCCCCACAGAGAGCAAAGCAAACCCAGGGGTGTGAGATGCTGGGATGCTGCCGCTCCTCAAGCACAATTATCACTGCCACCTGGGACTCCTTGTGCCACAYAGCAGTCAGAGCACTGGTCTCGTGGTCAACTCCAGGCAGATAACCATAACAGCACGTACAAATTCCTGATAGCGCACCCAGGCCCTGCTGTGCATCCTTTGGGCAGGCACTGAGGACAGCAGAAGAGGGACTGGCAACACAGGGGACAGGCAATGTTACCCCAGCCTCCCACAGCCTGTGTCCATGAGAGACACAGCAGCATGGAGGAGAGGCAGAGAACTTTTCCCAGAGGAGTGGTTTGTGCACAGAAGAGGAAGGATGGGTACAACCACCCCCTTCCCCAAAGACCCCAAAACCACCTCACCTACCCAAAGCTTCTTTTCCCTTTCCAAATGGACCACCAAGAGAATTCTAGTGGAAGGTGTCCCTGCCCTCAGCAGGAGGGCTGKAGCTAGATGATCTTTAMKGTCCCTTCCAACCCAGACCCTTCTCTGATTCAGTGAGAACATCTTGCCTTGCCGGACCCACCAGCCTGACAGGAGTGCACAACACCAACCCAGCTGCAAACTGGTTTACACAYRGGGAAACTGAGTCACAGAAAAGCCTYCTTTGCTCTTGGATGTCACTAGATGCAGAAAAGCCTGGACCTGAGTGCARCAGGTCTTCCTGGCACCCTAGATGCTCACAATATCAGGTGAGGATAAATAAACACCATTGGGGAGAGGAGATRTCAGCTGGGGCTGGACAGCCTTGGTGAAGGGCACACTGCGCGTTTTTAGGAACACCTGAGAGCAGAGATGGCAGAAAGCTGTGTTGAGGGGCGAGGGGATGATGRGTGCACTTACTTTGGGACGCTTCCACTGAATGCCCTGAATCCTTGACTTGTAGAAGAGCGAGTCGTCGTTGGCGGGGAAGAGCGGGTCCTCAAAGAGCTGCTTCCGCCGCTGGCACTCCTTCTTCAGAGAGGCATAGCGCTGGTTCTCGTACGGCTTCACCGAGGAAAACATCCTTCCCCAGCAGCTCTGGAGGACAGGAGAGCAGGAATGAGACAGGGCAGGGACACTCAGTCCTCCTGTGCAGCATCTGAGTGGCAGGACCGAGACATCATGGCTGAAGGTAGCCACCTCTAAGCCCAATTTTATTTTGTTGATTCCCCAGGACTGGGGCTCCCATTTACCCTCCCAGGCTGGCCAAACACCACCAAACCAGGCACAGGACATGACAACTGGTGTCCAGCTTCTCAATGGATTTGTAACTCCTCTGGGGAAAACACAGCCCTCAGAGGCAAAGGAGGAAAAGACACCCCCTGCAAGATGGGTCTGCAGTTTTGGGGAATGAGCACCCCCACCACAGAGCCTCAACTCACAAAATCATGCATTTCATGTATTTGTCAGAGACAACAATTTCTCAGCAGACTTTATGAAATCTGTTTTTAATTAAAAAAGAGGTCTCCTGGCAGAGCACTATGTGTTTCTGGATTAATTATTCTTTCCTGACAAGCGTCTTGCTTCCAGGGCAGAGATGTGAATTAGCAATCCAGACAACAGCAGGAAACCATTGCTCAAATGCCCCCCAGAGGGAGATCAGCACCTCTCCATCATTGCCTGCTTCATCACTCCTGCCTTTTGGTCACTGGGGACCAACCCTTTGCTCAGGCACAAGCTCTGCATAGTTCCCTACTATTTAATCATGGACTTTTACCAAAGCTCCTTCCCTACAGTTTCTCTGTATTTATTTATAACAGCCATGCACAATCCTTATCTCGCTGGATGATGTCCTTTTTTCAAATGCTGACCACCAGTGACCTCAGTCTGGAAACACCAAGTGGGGTTTCCTAAAGAAATGGGAATTTGTGTGCCACATAACCATAGAATCATGGAATCATTCAGGTTGGAAAATACCTCTAAGATCACCTGTTCCAGCTGTTAACCCAGCACTGCCAAAGCCTTCCATAAGTGACATAATCCCAACTGGAGTCCCCARCATGGTACAACTAAGGGTGCTCCATCCAGTGGGTGGATGCATCCAGCAAGCTGACCTCTCATCCCTCCTCCTGAGACATACAGAAACCATATGCTTGTTGTGGCACTATSACATGTGGTGGGATAACAAAGTTGAGATAATGGCTAATTGAAACCAGCTAATTTGCAAACATCCAAAATCCCAAGGATTATATGATCACTTACTGTTGGCTCCAATTTGAGCAGCAGTGTCACATTCCCTGTTAATGAACCACTGGGATCAGCTGCAGGAATGAAGGTGTCTGAGAGCTCAGCTAATGCCCATTCTGAGCAGAGCAATAGCCCACCCAACCAGCCTTCTCTCCTCTGGGAGAGACAAAAACACTTCACTTCTGCAAAGCTGAAGAGCAAAGCACAGGTTCTAATTGACAGCATTTATCAGCCTGATTAGCAGCACAAGTGCTCATCACTCAGGGCTTAAGTGAACCCAAAATAATCCCCGAGCTGGCTGCTCCACAGGTCTCTGCTGCTGAGCATCAGTTGCTAAAGCAGCTCGTGGGGGGCTTTGTGCCAGCCAGACACCTTTCTCCAAATCACCCACCMTGTCCCAGCCCCACTCCCCAAAGCACAGCCACTGCAAGTAACTGCAAAAAGGGGCAATTAAACCTTTGATTAATTAAATCTGAACTGCAGAGGAAGCACTGCACAGTCTGYACAGGATGGGCTGGGGCAACAGGTGATGCATCTTCCATGAGGAGACCATAGACATGGGGTGGCCAAAAACCCACCTGCCCTGAGGACACAGTGAGCATTCAGGGATGATTCCTCAGGATTGTTGGTTCGAGATTTTACAGTTTATAACAGCTTGTGTGCCAGGGACAGAGAGAGCAGCTCTGCCTCCAGCACCGTGCCTGACCTGCTGTCTTTGGAAACCAGCAAGGACCTGGCCTGTGCAGGTATTCCCAGGCCCAGGTATTAACCCAAATGAGTTAAAATATTTGCAGAGGTATTCACTCACACAGGAGCCTTTGGAGGCAGCCCAGCCATGCACTGAGGTGCTGTAGTATGAAGGGCTCTCAGTGATGCTCACGGGATTTTCTCCCTGCCATCAGCACCAGATGCTTTGTAACATCCCAGATGCTACAAAGAGGCCCAAGGGTATCACCTGCCCTCAGAAAAGCCTTAAAAATAAACGGCCTGATATAAACCTCCAAATAATGCACCAAAATTACTCCTTGTGGAAATGCTGGCAGCCTCATTAAGCAGTCAGGGAATTCACCCAGTAGTCCAATCCACCCCGCTGAGAKGGCCAGGGAAGAGGCTTGCTTCCACATCTCCAGCAGAGGAAGGGATGAAAAATAAGGTGCACCCAGGGAGGTCATGGGGACATCTCAGCACCCCTTTTGAGTAACAAATAGTCAAGTGATAGAGCTCACTGCTACAGAGAGACACTGGGAAAGGATGGTTGGCAACTGCCTTCTGCAGGAATACAACAAACTGAGAGGGGAAGGAAGATGACAAGCTGACATGCAAGATGAATTGCTTGGACTGGTGCATGAACTGGGCTGACAGACGGGGAAGGACATTTCCATGGGAGGTTGTGCAGAAAGAGCCAGAGAGATTAGGAAGGGAACCTGGAAAGGAAGRGAGGAGGGAGGTCTGGTGCCTCTAAAAGCCATGCTCAAGTTAAAGGCAGGAGTTTTGGGYTGCTGGATGCTGCTCTGCAGACAGTACTGTGGCCAAAGGCTGGCACTTGGCTGCTCATTCATAAAATTACTGCTACACCCTGSAGCTTGGAGCTGTGCTTTCCAATGATCCCTGCAACACCGACTTCCACGGGACACCCTGAGCAATGTCCATCCYTAYRAAAACAGGTCATCTCAGCCAAGGARTTCCAGCCTTTCTGATGACCAAATTTGCCTGAATTTTGCCCTGCTATCCCACCCCACAGTGACTGTCACCTTGCCAGCCATCTGTCCTCGCTGCAGGGCTACTCTCACATGACAGCGTGGAGATGGATTTGAGTTGCAAAGGAAATGCCAAGCAGAAGGAGAAGGGATACTGTTCAGGATCACTTAGAAAAACAAACAAAAAAACCACCTTGCAAAATAATTAAAAGGAAGGGGCAGAGGGAACATTCTTAGGGCAGTGTTAAAATTCATTACTCTCTCTAATTTGCAGCATTTCATGCTTACCAGACTGAACCTCACCTCAGTCACATTAAAATGCCCAAAGGCTGTCTAATTACTCTTTGCCTTCTTGCTCCAAGCCCGGAAGCTCCAGGAGCACAAGAACTGGATGTTTTCATGCCTGATTTGAATTAACAACCCTACACTTGCATATGCATGTGTTTGCATTCGAGCAGGGAGGGGAATCTGCACTCACCACTCTTAGCAAAGCTGAATTTTTAGGAACAGTGACATAGGATCCCAACCTCAGTCCTGCCATGAAGGAGTTAAACAAGGAATTACTTCGTTGGAAGACTGAGCCAGACTGATGACTCAGGGCTGTTGTGGACTCCCCTTTTCCCCTCCAGCACCATCCAGGTGCTCCAGCTCTGGCCAGCTGGTAACAGCCAGGCTCTAAGACCTGCAACAGGGAGAAGGGTTCGAAGGGTTTGCATTGGCCAGGACCAAAGAGCTGCTGAAAGGCTCTTCCTTCCTCTCCTACAAGCCTCTTCCTCTCCTTGCCTTCCCTCTGAGAGGCTCCTGCACTTCGGGTAGCCTCACCACGCTTGTGTCATCACAAGGCTGCAGCCTGGCCAGGAGCAATCTCCTTGCTGGTAGATCCCACAGCTGTCTGCCTCCAGTCAGACAAACCCTTTGTTCTTAGAGGATCTGCTGCCCTTCAGCTCCGTTCTCACCAAACAGGAGATGGCTTCCATATCACACTGCCCAGGCACGGGATCAGCCAGGGAGGAGATGGAGCAGGGAACAGGCACATGGCTGCCCAATCCCCAACCAGGTGCAATGGTACGGGGCTCAGTATTGGGGTGTTCAGAGCAGCAGCCAGGCTTTTTCTAGAAATGATATTTAAATAATTTTTTACAGCCTCCTTGGGTGCTTCAGTTGATGGACACGGGGCAGCACCAGGGTTATCTTTTCACCTCCCAACACAAAAGTCCAGCTCAGCAGAGGGAACCCTGTGGATAAAAACAGAGTTTTATCCACTGTTTCTCCAGGATCCAGGGAAGAAGGAGCCCCTCCATTGTCATTCACTGTCTACGCTGAACACAAAATAAGCACTCCACACCTCTTGGCCAACAACTCTATGCCAACCACGAACAAAAAAGCCTCAAGCCATCTTAGAATCATAGAATGGYTTGGGTTGGAAGGGACCTTCAGGATCCTCCAGTTCCAGCCCCCCTTATACAGCTCCTCTGGACAACCTGTGCCAGTGCCTGTGCCAGTGCCATTCCCAAAGCCCTTTCCCATTCCCAACCGTGCATGTGCCATAGCTTTGCTTTGGACCCCAAATGGCATGGCCCAGAGCCAGCAGCACAGCRCAGCATCCTGCATTAGCAATGTCCACAAGGAGTGGAAGCTGAAACCACACTGATGGAAATGAGAAAACAAGACATCATTTCTTCCCAAATTGACTGCGGTTAACCAGGGAAGCTAATTCCCACGGGAAGTCATAGGTACCGCATCACCAGATGTTTTTGAGCACAGTTAGACATCTTTACGGACCAGCTGCTTTAGCCAAAATTACTTAAAATTTACAGTGGYTACTTGCTGAAACAAAACTATTGAAGAACAGGGCACTGAAATGTCCCCTTCYGGCCTTTATCTCTTCATCAGGTCATATCTCCCTTCTCATTTWAGAGCTAAGAGCTCTGCTAGGCTAAAGGTGAAATAATAATTTTTACTCTYAATTATGTTTATACCAAGCTCTGATTTTAATCAGTGATTTGCTACAGCACAGATGGCATCCAAATCAGGACACCTTAACACGGTGCCTTTCAGCCTGAGGGTTAATCTTGCATGAGCACACACAGGGACAAGCCATTTCCCCTCAGAAACTCAGCCCCAAAAATCATATKGATGGGGTTAGGGGCTGTT